CCTTTGGACAAATCTCTAGCTCTAATGGCTTTGCTGATTCATCCTGTGCTGTGTTAGCAGTTATTTTTCAACAAAAAATCTCATCCTGCTTTCTTCAAACTGTACATATTTCCCTTTAAGGTGTTAACAAAAAAGGCTGTTTCTGCAGCATGCTGTCAATCAATTCATCTGACACCTTCCCTGCTGCAGCAGTGTCAAGGATAAAAAACAGCAATATTGAAACAATCAATCTCTTCACTGATGGTCTTGCTTGCTTTATATCTATATAAATGTATGTCTGTTTCATAATCCTTAAAAAGCCCCTAACAGTAGCTTTAAGCTGGTCTCTCCCTCTGCTCTGCCATTGCCAGCACTACCCCACATCAGAATTGCCTTCTTTCAACCCCATCACCATTACAGCATCCATCTGCAGGCTCCACTGGGAGTTGAAGATAGTATCTCAAACTTCTGCATGTAAAACAATCTGTGAGGAGTGATGAGGTTGGATCCAAGAGGCCAAACTGTTTCATTGTACTTATGAAAATTATCTTGCATTTTGCCGCAGCAGTAAACTTTCCAAACCATCAGAAACTTGAATTGTCTGAAACAATGTATGAACTCAGAGATGTAGCGTACATGTCATGACATTGTACATGTCGTACAAGACATTTCAAGAGAAAAAAAAGACAAAAAGTTATCCGAGGTCGTTCCAACAGTTTCCATTTCTGAACAAAGAGGAGAAGCAGAAAAGGATTACTGCATTATCAATGTACATGCACTGACAAGGTGACAATTTATCATGAAGAAAGTGACAGTGTTCATTCAAAGATCCATTTATTTCCTCTTTTCTGGCTTCACTTTCACTTTGTGCGATAATGAACACTTGATTTTAACACAGGGCAAAGATGTACGGCCTTTTATGAAAGCTAAAGTGGATCAAAAGATAAACAGTTTATCTATTTGGCTCTAATAACAATTCTCCATCCCACTGATCAGGCTGATGCAGAGACTAGCATGCCATGGGGAGTCTAATGTTGCACAACAGATTTCAGTTATGTCAAGGACAATATAGATGGTGTGCTTATAGTAAGATCAAACCACTTAGTGTGGCTTGTTTTTTCTGAACCTTCCTTGTTACACCGATACAGCAGGGATAGTGTCTGTCCTGACTCGCCAGCCGTGCTGCTAACATTTACTAGCTCTTAGTGTTGATAAAGTACGGCTGTGTCCAACATCCTAATGTTCTGCCAGTACTGTTTAAGGAGCGAGCAGTAGATCAGGTACGAGGATGCTCGACTTGTTGTATTTAATATGCAGCGTCTGCAAAAAAGAGACTGAAGTACTTCTGGAACCGCCAAGTACCCAAGCTTACATCGTACAGCCAAAAAAAGTGGAACAACAGCCTACAACAGCTGACCACCACAAACGGCATCACTCACAATCTGCAGCCAAATTTTTTTTATTATACCCTTTATTAATCCCTGAGGGAAACTGTGGTTTACACTCTGTTATTGAGAGACATGCTTCTCATACACAGGCCAAAAATACAGAGATGCACAAACAGGACCTGTGGACATTCAATGTCAGAGTGGGGCTACTACACAGGGAGCATGCCAGAGCTGTTGGGGGTCTGGTGCCTTGCTCAAGGTCACCTCGACAGTACTCGTGAAGTGACCTGGCACCTCTCCAGCTACCAGACCAGCTTCCATATAATGGTCTGCTTTGGGACTTGAACCTGAACCCTCCGGTTTCCAACAAAAGTCCCTTTGGACTGAGCTACTGCCGCCCTTTAAAAAAATTCTGAACAAAGAATTAAAACAACAAGATCCATCGTCGGCATCACCAGACCTGCTCCCGCTTTTTTGGCTTTGGATTAAAGACCACATAATTCTTTCACTGTCAAGTTTGTGATAAATAACTAGTAAACTGGTTTAACCCCACAATTTATTTTCATATGAAAGTATTTTGAAAGTTAGGCATTAATAGATACTTATTTCAGTTTTGCCTCTGTGTATTTACATTATTGCAAACAGCTGATAAAACATAAAAAATATAAAAGCTAAGTTATCAGAACACAGAGTTGGAAAATCAATTCTACATCGAATCCTGACCCCAAGAATCGAAACTGAATCAAATCAAGATCAGCAGACCCAAACATCGAGGTTTCTTAAATGGAAGAAACGAGCTCCGGGACGAGTGATGAACAAGGATAAAAAAAGTAATTTTTTCTCTTTCATATGATTAGTCTTGGTTCATCTCGAGAGGTCCCAACAGTGTTCACAGAGCTGGTATTCAGTGCATTCCTAGAGTTTGAGTTAAGGGTGTAGCTGGATCAGAGGGTCAGAACATATTGAACCAGGGTGTCCGGGTAATCAAGTGGTTTACAAACCAGGCTACTACAATTTCACCAGTGTGATTGAAGCCATTAACCTTTGTAGTGTTTTTAATGAATTTCACTCATATAGCCTTTCTCTTAATACAGTCAGAAACATTCAATGCTGTTGATTTGTTTTTAATACCACAACATTAAACCTGTGAACCAATAGTTTATAAAAAACCTTTTCTAAACCATCTTGAATAATTAACCATGGTTAAACTTTTTCTCTGCATATTGACGACTGGATTTATTACACCGCAGGCTTCAAATGGACGTTTGCAAATGGTAAATGGGCTTGAGCTTGTACAACACTTTTCTTCTCTTCTGACTACATGAAATGCTTTTACAATGCAGGTCACACCTACACTTTTACACCTCACTCACACACTGATGGCAGAGGCTGCTATGTCAAGTGTCCATCAGTTTTAATGAATCCATAGAACAGGAGCAGGAGGTTTAAGTGTGTTGCCCAAGGACACATCGACATGTTGCTGCAGGAGCTGCGGATCGAACCCTCTGGTTAAGAGATGACCGACTCCACCATTTAAATGTGTTTTGATGCTTGCATTTTAATCATGTATTCAAGAAATGTCTTCCTGAAGAATATCGGTGAATTGATGATCATACTTCAACATGCTGGCCAGATTGTTTTAGCCTCCACACAAGAAAAGATTTTCAAAATGGGGAAGACTCCACACATGGTGACAAATAATACCAGATCTAACGGGTTTTAGTGTGTGGAGATTCACAACATGACCAACACAACACATCACATAATTAAAGACTCCATTCACAAACAACCAGAGTCCTGACTTTCAAAACTGGAAATATAAATCTCTAAACTGAGGATGTGTCCGAAATCTCTCCTTATCCATTATATAGTGGACAAGCCATTTTGTAGTTCTGTCCAGAATTCTGAATGAGTATGCTCATACCCTATATAGTCCACTCAATGTTTCCCACAATGCATTGTGAAAAGTAGTTTACAACCGATGGTCACTACCCGAACACAATAATACATAACCATGATGTTTTGTGGTTCAAAAGATTTTTACGAGTGGAGAGTGACGTTTGACTCGACTACACTATCACTCGGCTGCAGGAGCTGGGGTTCCAACACCTGTCCTGTCCTGTTAAGAGAAGTCAGTACCACTGATCCACAGCTGCCCACTTCTGCTTTGACCAATCCTAAACTTACAAAATACTAATATCAATAAAAAGATGAATAAATATCATTTTTTCTGCAACTGAAGTCATTTTGTCCTAGACTCTCATGTCAACTGTGACGATATTTAGACTTCATTTTAATTGATGATCGTTCCTATGGTAAGCCCACAACTCTTTCAAACAACTAATGTCCTTTAAATAAACACTTAAATACTTTATTTACCTGAGCCACTAGCCAATCTTTACTTTATTAGTTGCTATCTTTTTAAGTAAAAATGGTTCCCTTCCATTTATTCTCTCATTCTTATTATTAACTTAGCATTAGTATTCTTACCTCCAACAACTAATACTTTATTGAACCCTTAAAGCTCAAAACAAATGTGACAAATACTCATTGTTGTTCCTTTTGCTCGGAAAGTATTTGTGACAATCCAATGCCGATTGGTCCTTGAGCATCTCATCGAATACACAACACATTCACAAAGTCTGCAAAGAGAGAGAGAGAGACCACTGGACTATCTTCAGGTAGACTCACTTCTAGAGATAGATTAAATAAAAGGCTTCTAATAAATCACAGCACATCACGTAACTAAACCATATTCAGCCAGGAAAAGCAGAAACCGGTTTTAACCGTCATGAATGTAGCGAGGAAGAGTCAAGACACATAGAACAACCAACGGCAGATCATAAAAGACCAGCATCTCCACAGCTCAGCAGCTTCAATCAGAAACCATCACCTCCTGCAACAAGCTAATAAACAGAATAAACTTCAGCTTTGTAGACAAGCTCATCAGACTTTATGAAATTATTAAATCAGAATTGGACATTTTAAGCAGAAACTCTTATCTATAAGAGACCTTCCGACATCCACCCAGATTTGATTGCAAACAAGCAACCTCCATAAAACACAAACTTCCAGCTACAGTGGAAAGCCCATTGGGTAAATAAATAAATAAATAAATAAATAAATAAATAAATAAATAAATATATATATCCATATATATATGGATATATATATATTTATTTTACACATTGTATATTGCTGTAGGCCTAATTGTGGCTGCACATATGACCTTAATATATTTGTGACTATTTTGCAACAGGTCACACATTACCGCTTCTAGGAAAATAGCTGTTACAATTATTATAGCTTGATATAAGTCATCATGACACACACACACACACACACACACACACACACACACGCACGCACGCACGCACGCGCACGCACACACACACACACACACACACACACCTGTCTGATTATTCCATTTATGCCACTTATTCTCTCTTTCCTTTCTCTCACTCTCTCTCTCTCTCTCTCTCTCTCTCTCTCTCTCTCTCTCTCTCCCTCACCCTCTCACATACACACACTCTGCCCCCTCTCTCTTGCTTTTTGTCTTGCTCTCTCTCTCTCTCTCAATAAATCTCACTAAAGAAACAGCCGAGCTGTGGAGACGTGTGGGAAGAAAGTTGTGAAGGAGAGGGTCGCTGCTTCTGACACATTCTGCTCAGCACCACGGACAGAGAAGGATTTGGAGCTCGGACAGCAGCTTTCCATCGATATGGGAGAACTGTTGAGGAATCCGAGGAGTTTGGTATTTACTACATTCAATTTGACCACACTGGGATTTGGATCTTTTTTTCCTGCTTGCCAAGTAAGCTCGTTTATGTCTAACAATCTTTTAACCTATGCGAGATGTAAAAAATGTAGCTTTTCATGAAAGTTCAGTGAGTCATTACGCAAAGAGTCAAGACACAGCAGAATTGTGTAAATCAGTGTAGTGATGAAAGATACAACAGAAAACTCAAAGTACTTGGTCTTTTTCGATTCTCAGCAGCTTAACTTTACATACATTTCAATATTTCACAGTCTTTTTTTTTTACAGTTCGAGGCTCATAAACTGTCAGCTGCCAACGACATTCCCGCTTTACGCACGACACAGTGGGTGATAGTGCCCGGACATAATGGCAGAGTAATAAGCGTTATTTAAAGCACTGCAGAGATGACAATGATTATTCACCTTTAGTCGTGACGAACACTTACAGTTTCTTGTGCGAAATTACGAACATCACTTGTAAGAAACTTGACAGAGTGATGATACATGGAAAAGATATTATTTCACGTTGCGTGAGGAGACGACTCATGTGCGAGAGAGTACCGGGAGCCTAATTCATCTCAACATGTTCTCAGTTGTAGCCGGAGCGAATTATTGAGTTCAGCATCTGAAACTCCCTCTCCAGAGTTCACAAACAGGACGCTGCTTCCAAAGCTACAGGTCACAGATGTGTAGTCCCGATTTCTTCTGATATTTCTGTGTGTGGAGTCTATTGAATCTCATCTTTCTGCTGCTGAAAAAACATGCTCAAGCACGGCAGAAGTGAACTCTCTCCTCTGAATTTATGAAGAAGACGAAAAAATATTTTCTTTCTGGACACTGTTTGCTCCATCTCCCTTTCTACAACCCACAATGGAGTCTTTAGACCAAAGCTACTGGGTCCCCTTTCCCTCAGACCTCAACTCTACCTTTGAAGCTACTCCCTCATCCTTCCTCCTCTCCTCCTCTCGCCTCTTTAACATCTCCTCCAACATGTCCACGCAGAGTGTTCCCTTCGAGGGCAGCAGCACTCTGTTGACAGCAGTCATCTCCTTCACAGTCTTTATTGTGGGTCTGATAGGCAACACTCTGGCCATCTACGTTGTGCTGTGCTACACCAAGATGAAGACTGTCACCAACATCTACATCCTGAACCTGGCTGTGGCAGATGAGCTCTACATCCTCGGGCTGCCCTTCCTCACCACACAGAACGTTCTCTCCTATTGGCCGTTCGGCTCCTTCCTCTGCCGTGTGGTGATGACGGCTGACTCTATGAACCAGTTCACGTCTATTTTCTGCCTGACTGTCATGTCGATCGACCGTTACCTGGCTGTGGTTCATCCGATCCGCAGCACCAAGTGGAGACACCCCCGCGTGGCCAAGGTGGTGAGCGCAGCAGTATGGGCCGTGTCCTTTGTTGTGGTCCTGCCTGTGGTCATCTTCTCTGATGTTCAGGTATAAACTTCAGCCCTTCACCACGCCTATCCTTTAAGTCAAAGTCAGACCATACAGTATACACAAACATTTTCCAGTGTCGATGATAAACCTTACTTTTTTATACTTTCCTACAAACAATGAGCTGAAGAATTTGCTTAGAAGCCACAAAAGGATACTTACACTTGATTGAGGCTTATATCCACAGAACTTATGACCACCACTGTCTGCTCCGTACCACAATCACTGTTTTTTTGGGCGAGCAATGAACTAAAAAATGAACAATTACATCAATGTCAGGTCACCTAATGCAGTCATCTAATATAAAATCTATTTGCTTCTGTAAACGTAAAGAGAAGAAGAATGATATCATGTCACTACACTGCATCAGTGAGGGTGACTCAGTTGTAGAGTCAGTCGTCTCTCAGCCTAAAGGTCGGTGGTTCGATCCCTAGCTCCTGCAGGCACACGTCTAATGTGTGTGAATGGATTAGTTAATACTGATGGACACTTTATGTAGCAGCCTCTGCCATCAGTGTGTGCCCTCGATGCAATGCGAATTACATAACTTCTACTTAGGGAAACAATATTTTGACACAGACTATTGATTTGGATATGATTTATTTCTTCCAATACACAAAGAGTCTGTTGGGAATCTACACTTAGAGCTATACGTCCACAGTTACAGTTAACGTGAATTTAGCTAACTTAGCTGTTATTACTTGAGACCAGATAAAAAAAAGTCACTAATATCACTGTGGGAGTATTTCCATTTCCTTTTCCAATGTTCAGTATTTAAAACACCGCTGTATCCCATAGAGCGTCTTGTTTACTTCATGCCATCATCAGTTTTGTAGCTTTCTCTGTCATAGCATACAGCTGTTTTCTTCTTGCCACTGTTTTTGTCTTCTTCTATTTCCCACAGTAATCAAATCATTTTAACCGACCTTCTTTCCACTGACTGATAAGATTACAGTCAGTCTGGGATTTTACCTGTGTCCTTAGCAACCACCTACTCTTCATAGCATCGGTCTGCTACCAAGGAATGGTAGATTGTTGCTCTGTGTGATTGATTATAATCAATAACTGAACACAGCCTGTAATAATGTGAAAATAACAGTGGAGCTTGTAGGGAGAACTAAACAGTTAATGGTACATTGTCAGCTTGAAATACATACCAGTGAGTTTCACCTCAGGCTTGTATAAATGTGTTCAAGTTCATGGAGGATCTTTTTTTATTGTAGCCTACGAGGGATGTAGCTTTTTTTAGAGGTAGGATGAGATAGCAGAATGATTGAAATATTTCTTCGCATTTCATAACAGAAAGACTTCCATACTGTGTGGGAAGAACTGCAATTGGTTATTTCACTAACCTTCCTCCAGTGCCAATCCAGGCAATTACCTGGTTCCCCTGTGCAGGCGCCGACACTGGGTGTCAATGTTAGTTTCACTGAGGTGAGAAAGTCGTACCGTTGCTGAGCCAGCATCGGTGGTAGTAACAGAGGTGTAAACGCAGTATAAAGGCACCACTGTAAAGGTCACAGTCAGCAGGGCAGAACAACGATGTGTGTGTGTGTGTGTGTGTGTGTGTGTGTGTGTGTGTGTGAGAGGCTTATGCTATTTGTTTACACGTCAAGCATCTTGTGCTTCTGCAACACCGAAACACTGTAATAGCACATGCTTGGACATCAAGATAAAATCATAATTGGATTTAAGGACCAACAGCGTATGGTGACGGCAGAGTTTTTCTAATGCGCTGCAGTCAATTCTTGCTGTAAAATAAACTTTAGACTGAAAAACAAAAGAAGAAGACTGAGTGGTACGTACAGTGGTTGTGGTTACTGTTTTTTATTTACTGCAATCTGTAGTTTGGAGACACTGAGGAGTTCAGTTCAGAACTACAACAAAAGCTTCTTACATGTGTATTGAAAAAAACAAAGCAATTCAGCTCGTTCTGTAACAGCAGGAAAACTCTTTAAGCTTAAAAAAAAGGAAGAAAAAGAGCTCTAAAAAGCTCACAATTTATGCGAAATAGACTTTGCCCTGGTTTTTAAACACTAATGTGTCTCAACCTGTCTAAAAAAACAATTATGAAAGTCTATCCTCTCCGTGTTTTTATGCCTGCTCCACTGTTCAGATAATGTTTGATCAAACAGGACAACTGGACATTTTCCATTTGAAACATCACAAAGGGCATGTGTGTGACACTCCCACAGCTAGGTGTTTGTTCTGCCCTCTGAGTCTGCCTTCTCACTGTAAACAATGAGGCATGGAGCGAGAGAGCCAGAGCATCATCCCCTACCAGAGAGGGGGCGTGGTCAGACACAGAAACAGCCTGTTCTGAGCAGGGCTGAAATAGTGGGAATCATAGACATGATCAAATACAGGATCAGAGTGGATTAAAACAAGAAACCTCACAGTCTCGGGTTGTTCTGAGATGTATTTAAACTTGTCGAAAAGGACAAAAATATGTGACCTTTAAAGTTTGTTATTCCCTGGTCATCAAACTCAATTTGTTTACCTCCTCATTTTTAAGATTTTTTAAAATCTTCCTCAGATAATGCGTTTTTCTATCATGCTGTTATAATTTTCAATAATAATAACATTTGACTTTAACTTCTTTTAGGACACATTTAACTCCTGCAACATGATCTGGCCTGAGCCAAAGAACGTGTGGTCGACCGCCTTCATCCTCTACACGGCGACAGTGGGCTTCTTTGGACCGCTGCTCATCATCTGCCTCTGCTACCTACTTATCATTGTCAAAGTGTGTATTTGTGTGTGTATGAGGCTTATTTGAAATACGCTCATGTATAAATTCATACTGAGCTCTGCATCTACATTATGATAATTTACATCAGCCTCAACGTCCTCCCCCTCCCTTCCCTCCTCTTCATCATCATCTCCCTTACATTCGCCCTCTTTACCACCAGCCTAATCAGACCCCCCGTTTGTGGTTTCCCTGCAGGTGAAGTCCTCGGGGGCGCGCGCAGGCTTCACCAAACGTCGGCGTTCGGAGCGCAAGGTGACACGGATGGTGGTGGTCATAGTGGTGGTGTTTGTGCTCTGCTGGCTGCCGTTCTTCATCATCAACATGATCAACCTGGTGGTCATCATCCCGGAGTCCAGTGTCACTGCAGGCATCTACTTCTTCGCTGTCATCCTGTCCTACGTTAACTCCTGTGCCAACCCTGTGCTCTACGGGTTTCTGTCGGATAACTTCAAGCAGAGCTTCAGACACGTGAGCTGGATGTTGTCTGGGTATAAAAAAGGCAAAAGTTTGAGAAATATCTTGACATTTGGAAAATACAATGATCTACTTTTAGCAAGGATTGCAGGGAGTGTCAACTCTCATCTTTATTTGGTAAAAATGCCGCCTCATCCCCCGGGCGACTTTTCTTATCCTAACATTGAAAGCAACTGGGAAATAAAAGCCTATTTCTTTCTGAAGACAAAGCACATCTGCATATTTTCAGTCATCAGAATGCATTACCAGCCCTGTAACGCAAACATGTGAGGCCTCCCTGCAGCTATTCTTGAGTGGGCCCTTTTTTTAAATTAACAACCCGGGTGATGAGAGGGAGCGGCGCTCAACAAAGTCATGCAACAGAGAAATAAAACTTTTTCCTATCATTTCACAGGCTGCCATTCTAAAGCACAAAGGAACACACTAGTCTATTATGGAGTTAATTTTAAACAGTTTAAACAACACAACAAACTATTAACTCATGATGTTGGAGCTGTCCATGGTACTCTGGTGTTTAACTTCTCCTCATTGCTCATTGTCGCACAGTGCAGTATTTTATTAAACCTTCATTTAACCAGAACTGATACTGAAATCCTGCACTGTGTGATGATGAATTATGAGGAGTCAAATACCAGAATACCAGTGACAGCTACTGCATCATGACAGTCACAGGATCAGCACCTTGACAGCGACCGTGACAAACTCAGATTGTTACACAGCTGCACTGTGTGAAGAGAGAACAAACGTTTTAAATTGGTTTTCACAAGGAAAGCAACAAAGTTTACATGCATAGTTAATACCCAATCATCTCAGCGACTACTGTTTGCTGCTTCGTTACAGGCTTTTAGGTGAGTAAACGTGCTTTGACCTTTTGTCATACTAATGACCGAACGTCCATTTCACTAACTGTAAACCTAGACTAGCGTGTTCATTTTAGATAGTACAGTACGGCTTGACAGGACACTGTCTCCTGTGCCATACTGTTTCTTAGATATGTTTTTATTTACATTTGCTTACATTTTGAGGGCCTTTCTGTGCTTACGACAGTTATAGGTAGCGTAAGAAAGTTTAATAGCCGTGGCTACATCAGGCACACTTTATAACGGGGAGTGGTGATTTATGAATAGAGTGTGTGCCAAACCTTAAACTGAGCCATCCTCAGTTTCCTTTATGGCAGACACTAATGCACTACTAAATGAGAGCACTTGTTCTGGACATTCTGCGGATAAATCATCCTTGTATTGCTCAGATCACTTCCTGATTAAAACATTTCATCATGAGATTTGAACCTAAGTTCTTTGGGCATAAAAACCCAACGAAGACGGGTGGATTTTCTGGATCTGGTTTTCTCTACATGTTGAAGTTTCAGCTTCCATTTGGGAATGCAGTGATGAACTATGTTCACAGACAATGCTCTTCAGATGTGTTCCTGAGATCATGCAGTGATCACCCATTACTGTTTTTACTGCAGGGCAGTCTGAGGGCACAAAGATCACAGCTAACTAGTATTGGTTTTTGGCAGTCTGGGTGACATGTCAGCTCAGACTGTACGACTGAATCGTTTACATCGCCCGACCAGACCTTGAGATTTATGTGCTCACACTGTACGACCCGATTGTCGGACACGGCCGGAGAGCTCACACTGTATTAATGAATTAAATCGGGGCATCCCTGATGATCGCCGGGCAGATGGGGGACGTTAAGATTGGATCTTTGTACCGCTCACACTACAAGATAATCTGAGCAGATAATCGGGTCCGAGCAGCCTTGAGTCGGGAGTGACCCTGCGATTGTCGGGAAGGAAGAATCAGAGCTCAAATCAGCCCGATAATCCTGCAGTGTGAGCCAGGCTTAACAGTCCTATGTGACCAGTTGTGTAGTAAGGCCTACTTGCTACGTTATATTTCAGAGGTAGCTTCTCACTCTAAGATTGTTGTTGTGTTGTTTTTTTGTAATGCAGGTCCTGTGTGTGAGAAGTATGAGGTGCAATACCAGTGGTGTAGATGATGGAGACCCGAGCGCTCCCCGCACTGAGAAAACCACGGCACACGACTGTGTCATGCTGTCCACTCGTAACCAGGTCTATCATGACCCACAGAGCAGCCAGGTATGTGTGTGTGTGTGTGTGTGTGTGTGTGTGTGTGCATAAAAAAGAAAGAAGAATCCAAGTGATAAAAAAACAGGGACCCATTTATAAATATATCATCTACTTTTTTAAGACTAATGGGAAAATGTGTCTGTCTCTCCAACCCTAAACAAACCCCCAAACAACCCCAAACACACACACACACACACACAAACACACACGCACACACACAAACACACACGCACACACACACACACACACACACACACACACACACACACACACACACACACACACACACACACTTCATCAGGCATTATCAGTTCTGATGCATCAGATGTGGCAGGTCTCATAATTAAGAAGAGTCCGACACTTCCGCATTACTCAACACGCAGGTGTGTGTATTTGAGTGTGTGTGTGTGTGTGTGTGTGTGTGTGTGTCTGTGTTTGTGAATGAGCAGCTAATTGAAGAAGGATGTTAAATTAAAGCTGCTGTGGAGGTTATGAATAGAGAACTATATAAAGCAGAAAGCAAGAAGTGAAAGACGACCCTCTCTTTGGAGCATGAGGCAGGGCTTGTTATAGGGCCTCTTATGCTCCAGTTAAGAAAAGAAATCATCTTTTGAATTAATCGGTGTATCCAAAGGGAAGCAATAAATGACTTTTAGCCTAGATTTATTTATCATGCGCTGCATTGTTTAAAGTCTTTAAAAAAAATAAAACTTGAGAAGTGACTGCATATTCAGATCAAGGCAACACTTAATTTGTCCTTGCTGATTTCTGGAAAATAAACGCTATCATTTTATGGTCCCGGGAAATCCCCCGAGTTGTGTCCGTGAATCCCTTTGTGGTCAGTCTTAGTTTAACTGGACAAAGTAAGTAACAGAGGCATCACTCTGGCTTTCAACAGCTGCATGAGCCTGAAAAAATAAACAGACTTCATTGTAGTTTCCTTCAATTGATGGGTCTTTAGTTTGTCTAAATCAGTGTTTCTCAACTGGTGGGTTGGGACCTAAAGGTTGGCCACAGAGCCATTTTCAGTGGGTCACTAACATGTGCCTGGAAAAAATATTGTATCAAAAAGTCTATGAAGCGATTTTCAAACATGTTTGTTTTGTTTCTTTGTTCTGTCACGTTTTGTTCTGTCTGAGGTCCAAACTGCACAATTTTTCATTGAACACATCTGATTGGTTGAAAAATATCTGAAATTCAGTTTGTGGTTTTTCATGAAGTGGGTCATGAAGTGGGTCATTTGTGGTGGGTCCTGAGGCTCTATGGGCTAGACCAGTTGAACACCACTGGTCTAAATAGCAACATCATGAGGCTGATTTGTAAAAAGTGAAATGCAAGTTTTATCAGGCCCATCTTCAACAAAAGAAGAAAACAACTTTTAAAATACGTCTTTGTTGAACTGAGGTCGGCTCAATCATTTCTGACTTATTCAAGGAAGTCAAGAAATCTAAACACTGATTGGCTTTCGCTTTACATTGTATTTACACTGACCTGTCCAACTGTCTGACTGTTAGCAGCCTTCTGTCTCTGTAGATTGATTTAATGAAACCTGTCCTTACCACATGGTAGTAAATATCACAGGTAAGTTTTTACTGGTTTGGATCATAGACTGTCAATTTTTTTGGATTAGCTGTCATTGCACTGTCATCATTCTTTGTGTGATTTATAAAAATAGAGCTGAATACAAGAAATTGAAAAGTTGTGTTGATGACTTACCTTATCGTCCTAATGTTTTCTGTTGGTCTGCTGGAATATTTTCTAGCAAGAAATCCACCTGCACTACTTATTTTTTTAAATAATCCCAACGCTTGTTCCTTTTTTCTTGTCTCTTCTTCCCTGACTCACCCTCTACTTTTTCTCTTTTTCTAAAGATCTTCCCTCAGCCTTTTGGCTCGCCCAGCTCTCACACAGCTGTAGACCTGCACCGCTCCAACGCTCCTGCATGTCTATCTACCTCTGCTTGTCCTGGAATCGGACACACCACGACAACAGTCACCTCCACAGTAGCATCCATAATGACCTCTGTGATGACCTCGGCTGAATTTCCCACCATCACCGCCCTGACGGCTCCTTCCTCCTCTGCATCCGTAGGTTCACAGCAAGATTAGCAAACTGACATCAGGTGTCTCAGTGAGAGAGAAAAAAACAACCCTGACTTACATGAATGTATAAAAGCACAGAGCTTGAATGGCGGATGTTTTTCTGCTGTTTGAAAATAAGAAATCTATTTCTAGGACTATTCTCGGACACCCACATGGACACTTGCAACACTCATGTTCCATATCTGTAAAACACCTTCACTGTAAACAGCTAATGGTTAAAGAGTAGTTTAATACTCGTTCGTTCCTGATTTGTTCTCCACTAACTATGCCAATTTCTTCACCATTAACAGTAATTGGGAATTGATGTGCAATAGTTACTCGGGAGAATTCAGAACAAACCAGGAACTGTTAACTACTAATTAACCATTTGAAAATGATTAATTTATGGTTAAGTAGTAGTTTGTTCTTCATTCATTCCTCATTTGTTTTCCTGTAATTGTGTGCCATTTTTCCCCATTAAATAAAATCTATACGATATCCACTGAATAAAATGACCTTACTATATGATAGTATATAGTGACATGCACTTCAACATGCTATGTTGAAGTGCTGGCTTCTCTGACAACAATGCAGCAGCCAGTATGTCCTCCTTCTAACTTTAGATTCCAGTCCTGAATGGTCTGTATTTGATTGGACCAGAGAAGGTAGGCGGACTTGGGACACCCACACACTTCGGTTATGAGAGCAGTTATCATGGCAAAACAGTAGGTGTTACAGCGATGGAAGAGGGCAAGAGAACTTCAGATATAACTGATTCCATAGTAAAACAAGTTTACATTTTGGAGATGCTTTTGAAAAATTGTGAGAGGTTAGAATACAGAAAGTTTTCAAGACCAAAGAGCTGGCTAAACACTGAAGCTTCAGTGTCCATGACATGGCAACTCGACTCTAAGGAGGAGGGGCCACGAGGAGACAGCTCTCTACAATGTTTTGAAGTTGGACTGCAGTACCCATTTTAAAAGCTAGGTGTCAGAGATAAATATTGCTCCTTTAACAAATAGAAGTTGTTAATTCTTCATCTGTGGCCTACTAATGGGAAAAAATCCTATTAACTAAAAAACTAAACTAAAAATAACTTTTTTCCTCCCCATCAGCAGTTATTGATTTACCAACGGTTAAGTAATAGTTACTTCCTCTTTTGTTCCCTACCAACAAAACCAACTCCCCCCCCCCCCCCCCCTTTTGATTACATTTTTGGTAATTTCTTGTTGTACCTAATTTGCTCTCTATTAACTATGCCAAATCTTTTTCATCTACAGTTCATGGAAAATTATTATGGAACACATGAGGAATACATGAATATAACCATTAGTTAATCATTAACTATGGGTTAACTAGTGGTTAGTGCCTCATTCATTCCTCATTTGTTCACTACAAACAATGCCAAATTTTCACCTGAAAATCTATGAAACAGCTTCAGTACCTGTTGAACTATCCAACTCTTTTTCAGGCTCCGTTTTTTTCCATTCAGCTACGCAAGTGCCTTTTTTCAGCTGCTCTCAGCCATCATCATGGCTCCTACATCAACATTAAGGAACATTCAATCCTTTCTTCTCAGATCCTGTCTGTCACAAAATACGGCTAAGTACTTTTCAGAACCAAAATTTGGAGCTGTAGAAGATTTTCTACGGCTATCCAAAATCAGAAGTTTATTTTAATAAAACATGCATTACAGGGTTCTTTTGTACACAACAACACTGTGATTTCAGCTAAGTAGGTCAGTTGTTTTTAGATATGAAACTTGCTTACTTAAGCCTTAAGGCTCATATATGCTCGACATCTGATACACATACGGATACAGACGGAGCATGCTGCCTGTACTCTGTGTTCATTTCATCCATATTTCTGCAGGTTTTCTTATAGCTTACAGATACTGACCAAACGTTGCAATACCACCAGAAATCATTGGGACAATGTCTAGCAGTGAAGCCAACAGTTTAAGCAAAACACAACAAAGAAGAACACTATGGAAAAGGCTGAACCTTTTGAGGAACGATTGGCCCAGTTGTTTCGGCAGTATAAACATTTATATGATGTAACCCTTGAAACACAAGGACAGACAACTACAACAGAACAGCTGGGCGGAGAAGGGACAGGATCTAACTGTCAGTTGGATGGCAGCGGAGGAAAAGACCACTGAGGTCCAGTGAAGACCACGCCCTCTTGTGGATGCATTTTTGAACGTCCATCAGAAACAGAAAGAACACATGGGAGTGTATAGTTAGTGACGGTTATATTGTTCAAAATGTATGCATCTATTTCCATATGTAAAGGAAGCATAAATTAGCCTTTAATCGAACAGCTACACAGCACAATGCAATTATTCTCTATCAACTTTAAATGTGTAATTGGAAACTTTGACTGGTAAATTGTCATGAATGTTGACATCTGTCCGTCTTTGGGGAAAAAGACTGCTGTGCTCAATATGTACACAGTGTGTATTTAAAAAAAAATCTAGATTGCTCTCAGCTTTGCAGTCACAAAGAATGTGACTCTTTGCTCTCTCAGTGTCTTTCTTCAAACAAGTAGCCAGCATTGAACACAAAACCTCTGAACTCTTTGTACAAATGCTTCTCAAATTGTATATTGATGTATTTGGCATGTCAGCTATGCGTGTGTAGGGGGTTGGTGTGCGTGTGTATACATGTTATGTGATTGTTTTGCACATATTGATGTATTTTCTGTGCAGCAGCTGTGTTGATAAAACGAGGGTTGAACACTGCTTCTTTGTAATTTTGTGATTGTGTGACATATCTTGCTGGGTGTCTTGTTTAGTGTTTAAGAGATCATACTTCTGAACAGACTGGCAGCTCAGCATCTCAGCTGCAGAAGCCTCAATTGCTTTTGGCCTTTGAAATACTATTACTGTCTGCTCTTAACCTTTTGTTATGAAAGGTCCAGTGTCGCTTTGGGGCCAGCGTGAAGAGGATTATATCACAACAACACAGGTTTCTGATTGGCTGGTAAAATGCCCTTCAAAATCATAAAAATGGACACCTCGGAGACATCTCAAATCAACCAGATTGTCCTGTGAACATGGCCATTGCAGCAATACTTGTGTTTTTAGGAATGCCCCTGTTGAACACGAGGTGTTTTCACACCTGTAGCTTGTTTGCTTTTTTGTGATTCAGACGATAAAATTATCCTTTGCTGTTTTGGGCTTTTGGGTCTTTTGTGTCCACACTGCATTATTTTATTATTATTATTATTTTTTTAAAGATCCATTTTTGGGCCCCCCCGTGCCCCCAATGGAGAGACAGAACAGTGGACAGAGTCAGAAAGAGAGAGAGTAGGGAATGACATGCGGGAAAGGAGCCACAGGTTAGACTCGAACCCGGGCCGCCCGCTTGGAGGACCACAGCCTCCACACATGGGGCGCGTGCACCAACCACTGCGCCACCAGCGCCTCCACACTGCAATATTTTAAAGCAGGCTAAAGCACTCACCACCGAAGGGCTGTCCCTTCTACGACAGCCTCCTTTTCCTGTTGGTAAGTAAACAAATGCCATGCATACTAGCATACCAACCAAATGAGTCGACTTGGATCAGCAAGGTGGTTAAATATCTCATCAATATAAACGCAGATGAGCATATTTGTCTAATGTTTGACACTACTGAAAAAAATACAGAAGTTAACAAACTTGTGACTCAGGGCATGAACGAGATGGGCTTTCAATGCGCTCTCTCTTTGACCGTGTTACGGTCTAATGTGTGACCCTGTAAAATGGTGACTTTGAGCAGAAGGCCTCTGAAGTTGTTGACAAAAGCTGTTTAAACAAAGCAAGGGACATAAAATAGTAACTTAAATGTGGCCCCTAAGTGTAACACATGTTAACATAATACAAATAATGAAAGTTAAATAATTATTATATCTAATTCTAGTGCAGTAATTAAGGTTAGAATATAATGAAAAAAAAGGCATTTTGTATTCTTGCCATGCAATGTTCTTTCACCATCTTCCAGACAATTGTTTACTTCAGAGTACATTGTAAATTTTTATACTTTTATAGGCTACATGTTAATTAATTTAAATTAATAGATAACAGAAAATAACACAAAAACACAAAACTCATCCAAACCAAAGCAAGACAAATCAGAGCAGAACAAACAACAAACAAAACAAAACAAAAAAAGAGATGGGGATATGGGGTAGGGTAGGAAAGGGGGTATTGGAATGGGGGAGGAGTACCTTATTGCAAATCTTGGGCTAGATTGAAATAATATGTTATCTGTCTTAACTAAGTCAAATACAGACACATGCGGCTGAAGGTCCCCAGTTAACACGGTCACTCTTTAAACCATAACACCTGTTAGCAGTGTCAGTAGAGAAACTCGTACAGCAATTTTTAAAACGCATGAGACCATCTTGGCAAAAATTGAGATTCTAGTTGTTGCCAAAAGTTGTTGTCTGAACACAAACCTTTTTTTAAAAACTAACAATGTTCTGGTTTCAGTGGATCATTGTAAATGTTTAGTTAGTTTAGTTTGACTATGAACAAACTTGACGACTGATTAATTAACACAGCTTCTACTCTTCTGGTCATACAGAAAGTGGCCGTAGTATAAGCTCAAAAATATCCTTTCTTTTACGTTTTGTTGTGTGTAAGAACTGCTTTATTGCCAATTATGAGTCAGTTTTCTTTCATTGTGCTGACAGCTGGTAAGAAACACAGTTAATAAGCTTAAGGCTTAAGGGTCATTAGAGAAAGTAACAATGCTGGATGTGTGTGGTTTATTTAGTCATTTTTCATCTGTGTAAACAAAGAAAAGGCTTCAGGGAAAAGCACTGAAAAAAGAAAATCAGTGAATTTTAACATTTGAGGAGATGACAGACAAAGGAAGGAAAATCAAGAATGCTACTAAATGTCTGTGCACAGAGAATGTGTTTTAACCAGACTGTTAGTGTTCTTTTTGTCATAGCTCTCTATTTGTTGGATTTCTTCTCAATATATTCATTTGTGTTTAACATCCGATCACTTGTGTATGCAAACTCTTTTGTGGACTAGAAAAACAAAGCAGTGCATGCGATGTCTGCATTGCACGAAGAGAGAGCCTCATCCAACCTGTGCTCAGAGGGGCTCTTGAGATTGAAACACAGAATGGACAGAAATCAAAACCTGGGCTCAGTGGAAGAAGAACTCTGACCTACAGTAAGGGTTGCAAAGAATGTGAAAATACCTGAAAGCTATTAAAAAGTGTGTTGACATGAAAAGTACAATAATTGATCTAATAAAAAAGATCAGAAGTCAAATGAATAAGAATAAGCCGCACTACACCATTACAACCAGGACATATATATGTAGAATATCTCAAGTGATGCCAAGATTATGATTTAAATAATACATGTCAACAGTCCAGTAATTTTCTCCTATGAAACATTTAATCTGCATTACACTCAGAAAACATGGCAGTTGCCTAGTTACAGGATTATGTGTATGCAGACCTACTGAATGATTTAATCTAACATGAATACATTGTACGCCGATAATAGCTTGCATGATAGACGAAGACAAGAGAGTCTCCTTAATTGTGGAAGTACACATCTTAAGCTTTGTGTGTAGGCCGGTAATATTCATTTAAATAATTAGTTTCCTACTTTGATAAAAATGGTCCTGAGTAAAGTGTTCGATGGTCACAATGTCCTGGAGGGAAACCCAGGCTGAAGTGTACCCTCAGATGTTGAAAAATACTTTTATTACTCTAATGAAAGGTGTTTTATTGCTCCCTCTAAAGTTGGACGTTACATAAAAACTAGGAGATAGATTCAGATTGGTTACCAATTTTCACATTGAGGATCTGAGCACATTGGTCCCTGTAGACCCGGATGGATAAAAAATGTAGGTCAATGTAATTCAAAGTTAGTCTGTTGAGGTTTAGGATGTAGTCTCAGATACATCACCACTGGTTTCTAAGTGTTATGAAGCCTAACATTGTCGCCATATTGGAATTGCTGACTCCAACTAACTTAATGTTTACCGAGAATCAAGTTGAGTTTAGGCTGACTGAATGACTAGCTTGGCTGATGAAACAGGCCCATTTTACTAATCCAACTTGTCATCTTGATAGCATATTCCAAACTATGAAAAGAAAACAGAAGACAACATTCCTGCTTGTCAGTCAAAACCTGTTTTCATGCCTGGCAGATTGTTGGGGGCTTTTTA